CAAGTATAAATGCCAATCGTTTGCATGGTCCTATAAACATGACATCCACTTTTCATTTCACAAGAAGTAAGTTAAATAATTTTTTACCCTCAATTCATTTTTTTATGACCTATTTAAAGGATTGATAAGGCGGATAAATAAATAGAAAGTGACTAAGTTGGGATCGCAAAAATTACATATTTGCCCTAGAGGGACTAATATGAGGTCTAGGGGCTCTGAGAGGTCAGCGGCACATATCCAGCAAAAATTACCCCACGTAACCCCCCGGGGGGCACCGCGGTTTCGTTGAAATCATAACAGTTTTCCTAGAAAGCTCCACGGGATCTCAGTCAATCTTAATAAGCAAATTTTCTTTTCAACCTAAATCAAAATGATTAGTAAAAAGAATAATGCCCTTATTTTTGACCCCAATTTTCTTTTTTATAAAAAAATACATAAACAGACCAGAATCTTACTTTTCCATTTCAAAAACATGAAATATTTGGCGGCGTTGCCCGTGTTTCTCATGGCACGAAAACTTACTTTCATATGACTTCATGTGGGTTTTTTTTTTCGCACGCTCAGGAGGTGAAAGGGATGTGTTTTTTCATGAAAAAATATTTTCACAAAATTCTGCTTGACTTGTTAAGAAAATAATTTGTTTAATTTTTAATAATTAACTAACAGCTAATTGATTTATTAATTTGGGCGACCAACTTGGAGGCCAGGGCACCCCAGCTAAAAATGCTTGGAGAGCCCGAAGGGCTCTCTGAAATCTTCCCTAGAGCACAGCCTTGCAGCCCTGTAGTTATTAGAAGTATGATACATTACATGTTATGTTGAATGTGGAAGTGCATTTTTTGAGGACATTAGTAAAAGAATGCAAATTTTAGTGAACTATCCCATACTCCTAACATATATGGTGGTAATATTGATGTAAGTTTTGTTTTGAGTAGCAAAGGAACCCTTGTCTGTAACTCATCTTCTAGTGTATTAGTCCTTAACAGAACATCTCCGTCTCTCCTGCACACATTTGTTGCATACACTACTCAACTTTCCATTGCCATTCAACATAACGGTAATTCTTTCTTACACCAACACATCCCGCGTAAACGCCTTCGGGCGTCTTCTTGTTGTATGTGCAGCATGGATTCAAATTTAGTAGCTGACTGATGGTGAACAGTTTGATTTGATATTTTGCTCACCTTCGGTCAAATACTAAATTTGCATCCATGCTGCAGGATAACGTGCGACTAAATGTGTGCAACGGACGATAGCTTAGTATCAGTACAAACTGTTTCACACCTATTCCCATTTTCTGTGCGTAATCGAGTTTTGTGAAGTAGTTATGTTCAAATCTTGGACACAATACCGTAAAATTCCGAAAATAAGCCCCCCCACGTATAAGCCCCCCAAACTCGTAACGCAAAAAAAGCCTCCGTTAAATCGCCCCTCCGAATATAAGCTCCCTAGGGGCTTGTGCTTGGAAATTGCTCTCAAATACAAACTAAAATAAATCAAAAACGGTCAATTTCCTTCCAACTATAAGGCTAGCCCCATCGATTTTGAAACGCAAATTTCCCTCCATAGATAAGTGCCTCCAAATATAAGCCCCTCCAAAAATAAGCCCCCTCAAAAAGGGCCTTTGAAAAATATTAGCCCCGGAGCTTATTTTCGGAATTTTACGGTATGTGTGATCGAAAACAGGGATTCTTTTTTTTTTGCTCGCGACATGCGCAACTTCCTTCAGGATTATGACTTCGTGCTTTACAACGTGAGTGAATAAATATTCTGCAAAGGACTCCGTCTATTTGGTTTCTGTTAGATCTTAACACTCTGCGCTTTTCATTACACCTGGCCAAATCTGTTGCAAGGGAAATCCAGAAAACCAAGCGCAGTGTGATTGTTCCAGTTTTATCTTCTTGTTGTAGCGAGTCTCAGATTTAGTTTAGTGTATCTGTATGTTTAGTTTGCACTTTCTGCGGCAGCCCTTCATTTCTTGGTAAGATGAATAAGTGGAGTAATCGCTCTGTTGTCTCGAGGCGTTTATATTCCCTCCTTGCATTTCTTTTGTGAGAACAACCCTGAACCTGGACCAGTTTTTTTTTCTCGTCCACTGGCAAATGAAGTCTGAAGACCTCTTTTTCTACAACGATCATTGGATCCTATACGTCTGAAAATAACTGCAGCGGTCAATGAAGGAACGAAAGTACTGGACATATGTACGACTTTAATGGGCTTGCCTGACTTAGCTTCTGATGGCTCACCTCTTTTTGCGGAACCTATGTTTCTCTTCGGATGAGCGTTGTGTAACACTTCAACTTACTACACGTTAACCTTTTCACTGAGTGGCGCAAATTATTCTCTGCGTGGGGAATTTCCATTTCTCCATAGACTCTTACAATATATTTTTACATACGCATTGTTTTGGCTACCCAGAGTTAATTTTTCCCTTAAAAACCAGCCTCCCTATTTTACTATTTCGTTTTCTTGAAACAAACGTTTGCTGAAACCAAAGTTCTTATGCTAGGAATGTTCCGTTAACCTTTATAATTTTTTTGCGAAAGTAACAACACTTTTCCTTAAATGAAAACGCATTTCCCTCTTATCAAATTCATAGGCATTGAAGCTTATCCGTTCAAAAACTCTGCCTTGTTGTGCATCGTAAAGAATTAGTAAAACTATCCTCCCCTCCTCTCCAATTCACTTTTAACAAGAAGAAAACAAAAAAATTCAAAAACGTGAAACTTGTATATTTGAGGATGTCAGTACGTTAACGAAGATTAATGTATAGGTAGCCGTAAAAGCCAAAGCATTACCCTGCTGGATATTTGAAAACGTACCGAACGAAAATTGCAGTCTTTTGACAAGAAAAGACCAACAGCAAAATGAGCCCGAAAATTCCCCTAGAAAAGAACAAGGAAAGGAAAAATAGAAAGAGTGAGGAGAAAGAGAAAAAAAGCAATGGCTGCAGTATTAGCTGTTATGTTGACTTCTTTGGAGACAGTTTTTGAAATAGAAAACTGTTTTATGGGAGAGCTCTGTTTTGGCTGTAACCTAGATATATATTTTTCTTACTCTTGAGGCTAACGGAAATCCGATTGAAAAAAGGAATATATTTTTTTAAAGGCAATGATTAAGTAACGGCCTTCATTTTTCAGAATTAAAGCTGTACGACTAAATTTGTTGTAGTTTTACAGCCAACAGTTCACTCCCTTACTCTGTAAGCCCCCTGTTATTTGGGGGTTCATTGAGTGGAGCATGGGTGTCCTGTGCAAAAGCCAACCGTGTTTAATATTTATCCTTTTTGAAAAAATAATCACTTCGTTTTATCACCGAAAACTAGGTAGCAGTTATTCTTTCTTCTTTCACTTTTTCATAAAAGTAACAAACACATTTTAGACATTTTTTGTTTTAACGTATAATTTCAAATAACGTGGGTGCCCTGTGTTAAAAGCTCAAAATGTTTAACGCTTAATTTTGACATGTTCCATGGCCACTGATCGGATTTTGGGGGATTTTAAGTAGGTTGCTAGATAGGCCACCCTTACTTAAATGGCGTTGAAAACAATTCTGTTGCCGTTAGTTTGATGTTGAGCCTCGAAAATGCCTAGATTGACTGGACTATATATGCAAAAACAAACAGAAACTTGTTGTTAAGTCAAATCGACAAGGTTTCATTTAGACCAATCTGTAACGCAAAGGATGATAACTGGTCTATTCAGTAGTTATCTTACACTACGATATCAACCGCTCTGTGAAGTTGGCTACCTTTTTGTAATGCTACCCGCTTTTAGAGGATGTTTTATAGCAACTTTTTTCTTTTTTGCAAAGTAGCTTTGTAATTATTATCGCTTCGCCTGCAAACCCAGCAACAGGAATTATATCTCCTGAATTCAAAAAAACGCACTTACAATTGCAAGTTACATTTCACAGCTTTTAATTAATATTTTTGCGATTCAAAAACATTGCGACCGGTGCTAAAAGAAACAATAATGTTTATTAAAACCCACACCTGTTTGCCTTCGAAATAATGGTGCAGATTAGGAGATTAACTGTAATGCACCTAACTACCGCAGCTTTTAAAACCCCTCACAATGAAATGTAAATATTTGCTCAGTTAAAACCGTCGTAAGTTCATTTCAATCTGACTTGTAGGCTACAGTGTATTTTGCGGAAAAGCAAGAGTTTGTACTTTTTTTTCTTGGGGGATGCATCCCTTACTTTTTAAATTAATTAATATGTACAGCTTACTATACTAATGCCTTAACGAGCTTTAACTCCACATTTCAGGTTCTAAGGTGAGGTCGGGGCACTGAGATCTAGGCACTAGACCACTTCCCGTTCTAATAATCGGCGCCCCAATCAAGAAAATATACACAATTTCCCCTGACTTCATCACTATTCATAGAAAAAACTCTGCGTGTTAAAAGCTTTTTTTGCGTGTTAAAAGCATTTTACCTCCCCTCCAATTAAGTCCCTAGGGGAACAACCATCGATATTTTGTGTTTTTAATAAAACAATTACTCCACTCGTCCTGCTCAGTCCAATCGCGCTTATTGGATATGAGATTACCATAGCCGTCAACTTGGCGCTTACCCGCAGCCAAAATGCCATCAACCATGTCAGTACACACAACAGTTGTGAGGTACGATTTTGATTGTGCGAAGTGAGATGAGATTGACCAGTTCGCTCAAATGTTCTCCAACTCAACCCTCATTATTTTTTTTATGGGTTTTTAAAACTTCGTTTTCGTGCCTTGGTAGTGTTTAGTTTTTGTTTTTGTTTTTTTCTTTTTTGTGAAATCTGCTTATTCAGAAAAATTAAATTATTCCTTCTTTAATTATGATTAAAAAGTCATTCAGACAGTGCACCTGTTTCGAGAGCTATTTCAAAATATCCGCTTAAAACCAGCACTCAGAACCTTCCATTTTTCCTTCTTTGGACTCTTTACAAGGGCTGAATTGCAAGTTCATATTTAGATTAAAGGAGGTACATCGCTGACTGCAAAAGCGCACATGATGACAGAACCAAACAATTTCTATCCGTCTAACATCACCCTTTGCGTTGTAAAAGTTCTGTTGTGCCTTTCTGCCATCACGCTGAATAGCATCTCAATCCACGCCATCAGGAAAACGTCGTCGCTGCAAACGACTATGAAAATCATGCTGCTGAGTCTAGCTGTTTCTGATCTTGGCGTTGGCCTACTGGTGTATCCTTTGGCCATTGTAATTACCACCCTGGAGATGACTTCCAATGCCCAAAAGAATCAAGCTTATATGGTTATACTCAACTTATTTCAGGTCCCCTTGAATCTGTTTTATTATGCTACTTTCTTTGGCGTGACTGCTCTCAGTGTAGAGAGATTCTTGGCCATTTTTTTTCATCTTAGATACCAGGAACTAGTAACCTACAAGCGTGTGGTTGCTGCTGTGATCTCAATATGGATCTCATGCGCATTTCTTTCGTGTATTCAGTTTTGGACCGCACCACTCATTCGTAACGTTGTTTATGTAACCATTGAACTGGTTTGTCTCTTAACCACAGCACTCCTTTACTACAAAATTTATCAAGCTGTACGACGCCACACAAGAGAGATTGAATCCGTTCAGGTAGAGACTCTTGGCGGGGACATCACAAGGACTACTCGGCGATTCAAGTCTGCCATCGGAACATTCTACATATATCTCGCTTTTCTTGCTTGTTACCTGCCACATAATTGCACCTATCTTGCCAGGCTTATATTGGGTTCCTCTAATAACTTGGATTTAGTACTACACTTGATGCAATACACTTTGACGCTTACATGGCTCAATTCATCTCTTAATCCTCTGATTTACACCTGGAAGATGAAACCAGTTCGCTTGGCAATAAGAAATACTTTGCAGAATATTCTAATAAATAGGTTCAGCCGAGGCTAAAGGCGAAGCTCCCGTTAATGAAAAAACATTGCAATAAAGCAAGAGAGAATGAAATAAAAGAGCGAATCCCAGTGCCCCATGATAATTACGCGGGATGACGTAGTCAGCCAACGTCTTAGGGTGCGTTCGATTGGAAAATCTGGATTTAGATTTTAAAATCCGGATTTCTGATTTGCAATCGAACGCGAAATCCGAAAACGGATTTCAACGCGGAGATATCTGTTTTTGGATTTTTATTTTTACCGTTCGATTGGGAATTCCAAAAAAGGATTTGAAAAACTGTTCTTAAGAACAGCGGTCTTGCACGCGCACGCATAATTAGCAAAAAGAAGACCGCTGTTCACGAGAACAGTTTAGCAAATCCTTTTTCGGATTTCCCAATCGAACGACAAAAAGGGAAATCCAAAAAATCTGGATTTGGATTTCTTAATTAAAATTCACCCGGAGAAGGGATTTCTCGGAGGTGAAATCCGTTTTCGGATTCCGCGTTCGATTGGGAAATCCGGATTTAGATTTTGAAAATCTAAATCCGGATTTCCCAATCGAACGCACCCTTTAAATTCGGTAGCGCATTCCTTTCGTTTTCTTGGGAGTCAAAAATTGCCTTGTTTTTTTAACTTTCCCGTATCCCGTGCCCGTCCCAAAAAATTGTGTGGATTCTTATTGGCCGCAACGTCGAAGCACGTGCAAGTCAGGCTGGATTGCACAAGCCGAAGAAAGATACTGTGTCAGCAAAGGAGGGAAAAGTAAGCTCACTGTGTAGAGGAGGACGAAGACTCAAGGCCGTGCTCTTAATACAGCTCAAGACTTGGCCTCGGGCGACTGAAACCATTGTCCAGGTCGCCCAGTCGGGGCGACATGCTGGTGTTGGTTTCAATATAATCCTTTTAGTATGAACGTGACAAGCTGCACAGTTTTCGATTTTTAAACAACTTTTCAAAATAACATTAACATTTTTTCTTCAAATTAGGAAGGTTCATTAGTTAGTTTTTCAAAAGAAATTGTTACTTTTGCTCTGACAGGCGTAAAGTACGGTCGGCGACGCGAAACAATAGTCTTGTATTTTCAAAAATCGCTGAATAAACACGGGAGTCCCTCTTTGAGGTTAAGTAAATATATTTTTACCTGTTTTTTACTGCTGTGTCCGCGAGGCTAAAAAATAACTTAAGATTGTTTTTCCAGTAAAATACGATGTATAAAAAAGAAAAGATACCACTATTGTTGTGCTGTTTTGGAAACGGGTATAAATCTACAAGTATCGCATCGTCTTTCGTCTCGTGACAAGTCAATGCGTATTCCGTACTAAAAATAGATACGCAAAAGCTAAATTTAGCGGTCAAAGTACAGCTATCCACAAAAAGCTCATTTGTCTTGAACATTTCACCGATAATATAGAAAGAAAATACTTGTGTTCTGCGCTTGAACGACGACTTTCCAACAAGATGATCTATTCAAAAAAGATAACAGTTTTGGGGCGGCCGCGGTTTCGTTGAAATCATAGCAGTTTTTCCGGAAAGCTCCATGGGATCTCAGTCAATCTTATTAAAGCGAATTTTCTATTCAACCTAAATCAAAATGATTAGTAAAAAGACTAGTGTCATTATTTTTTACCCAAAAAATTTTAGAAAAAATACATAAACAGACCAGAATCTTACTTTTCCATTCGAAAAACATGAAATATTCGGCGGCGTTGCCCATGTTTCTCATATGGTGCGAAAACTTACTTTCATCTATTATCCATGCTTTCATATGACAACTTGCGGGGTTTTTTTTTTTGCACGCTCAGGAGGTCAAAGGATGTGATTTCTCATGAAGAAAATATTCACAAAATTCTGCATAACTTGTTTAGGAGATAATTTGTTTAATTTTTAATAATTAGCTAACCGCTCAACTTGGAGGCCCGGCACCCCAGCTAAAATGTTTGGGAGACCGAAGGGCTCCCTGAAAATTTCATTTGGGTGACCATCTAGATCTTTTAGGCCTGGGTACCCCAGCTAAAATGCTTGGGAGCCCGAATCCCTGAAATTTTCCCTAGAGCACAGCCTTGCAGCCCTGTAGTTATTGGAAGTATAATACATTACATGCTATTGTTGAATGTGGAAGTGCAGTTTTTGGACAACATCAGTAAAGGGAACGCAAATTCTAGCCGAACTACCCATACTCTTAACACATATGGTGGTACTATTGATGTACGTTTTGTTTTGAGTAGCAAAGGAACCCTTGCGTGTAATTCATCTTCTAGTGTATTAGTCCTTAACAAAACATCCCCGTCTCTCCTGCATACATTTGTTGTTGATACACTACTCAACTTTCTATTGCTATTCAACATACTGGTAATTCTTGCTTACGCCAACACATCCCGCGTTAACGCCTTCGGGCGTATTCTTGTTTAGGAATGAATTTCATTTACAAAGGGATTGAAGCATTGGAGTCAAAATTTCACTTTGAGATTAAAGGTTGAGATTTTCTAACGGCTGGTAGCCATTTAAAGTAACGAATGTTGAATTCTGACACACCATGAAAGCCAGAGGCGGATGTTACGAAAACTAAAACCCTCGAAAACTAAGACCTAAGACCTAAGACCCGTCTTAGTTTTCGAGATTACGAAAACTAAGACCCCCTAAAATCGAATCCGTCGAAATATAAAGTCAAATTGTAACCGAAATAGGTCTAATCTGTCAAATTATCTTCAGTCCGATTCTTTCCACCGAGTTTTAGGTCAAATTTAAAGGTAATCCGTAAAACAACCAAAAACTATCATCCACGTGCTGACGATCCGCTTCTTCTAAAAATTTGGAGACATATCAGTATTGAGGCTTCAAAAAGAGGATGACAAGCCATAGACTACCTGTGTATAATTGTACGCTGAAAATATGCCTTACCCCGCCGCTGTTCTGACTATAATTTTGGTTCCACGTGCTGGAGATGAATTTTTGCCTCTGTGTCTTTGCGACCGTGATTGCGTTTGGTTGTTTTACGGATTATAGTCGTAATTCGACTTCATTGAAACTTTACGGATTGGTTTTGTTAGGAGTCTTAATTTTCGTAATAACGAAAACTAAGAGGTGTCTTTGTTTTCGAAATTACGAAAACTAAGACCCCTAAATTTACCGTTAAATTTGACCTAAAACTCGGTGGAAAGAATTGGACAGAAGATAATTTGACAGGTTAGACCTATTTCGGTTACAATTTGACTTCATATTTCGACAGATTCGATTTTAAGGGGGTCTTAGTTTTCGTAATCTCGAAACCTAAGACGGGTCTTAGGTCTTAGGTCTTAGTTTTCGAGGGTCTTAGTTTTCGTAACACCTAGCCAGAGGCAAAGGTTATCACGCGCGAAACACGAAACCTTTAATAGGTGGTTGACTTCAATTGTTTATGCAAATGTCCAAGATTTTTTTTCTCTTTTTCCAGGAATGTTTTTCTTTCAGAAATAGTACATTTACTTTTAAGAATTATTCTTGAGAGTTTGAAACTGCATTACTTCTTCTTAACGCGTAATACTTGCGATGAATATTTCGCCCTGCGAACACAAATCAGGTCAGATGCTTCAATTAAAAAGCTGTTAGACAATCGCTAACCTGGATGCCAGAGACTTTTTATGCGCGATTTCCGGTTTCGGTCAATTCTTTATAGTGAGCGGTGTGCCCACATTTGTCTAGCGCCCTCTCAAAATTCAAATGTTTAGCGGCCAAACATTCATGTTTGAACCCACTTTGAACCTATTTTCTCGTTACGTGTCCACGGTTGGATCTAAACGAAGGTATCACAGCGCGCGGGTGTGCGAGGATGTCGCCGGAAGAGACAGTTGTAGTTTTTGTACAATGTTTTTATACTGATGTAGCGAAGACCTCAATAAGCAATTCCATCGAGTCGGAACCGCTTTCTCCGGCGAAATTCCACAAGCCAGGACCGTTTTGCTCTTCAGCAGCTACTCCGGCCAGATTTTTCCACGTAGAAATCTTTTGACTTGTCGGCGAAAGTAATACCAAGTTTGCACGTCATATCGCTTGCTCTGCGTGATCGGCAGTGAAATGAATTACCCGCCAAATTTAAAATTACATGACGCCACTCAACCCGACCAATAAGGTGGCGTCCTTAAAATAACCACGCAGTATGACTCAGAACCAAGAATAGGTTGAAAATAATTTTCATGGAAAGAGGGTCAGGTGTGGGGGATTCGCTCTCTTAGACATTCTCTCTTGTCAATTAAGAAATTCAATTAGAGTTGAGCCTGCGATCTGTTCAAAACTAGAAAACTTGTCAGCGATAAACTTATAAAAAAAACACGTAACCTCGAAGGGTCGACACCTGAGCCCGCAATCCTAGAGCTAGGAGAAAATAGGGGGCTGTGAACAGTCTAAGATATTGGTAAAGAAAAGTGAAAGCTAAGTTTAAAATTATCCTTGTAATCGGCGTCAAACCGTGAAAGGACTATATATCCTGGACAAGTGTTCTAAGCCCGACTTTTCTCATCCTAGGTTAAATCCAAACAGAGAATATGAGTTGTCATGGTAATAAACCCGGGATTTTCGAACCAAATAACATAACTTAATGTAAGATCGATGAACTTGTTTAAGTACAACTAAATAAACGCATTTTTACAATGTATGGAAAGCTCGATGCATTTCACAATAAGTTTTATACCCTATCTAATTTTAACACTGTTAAAAATAAATTTTTCAATCTCCATTTAAATGAGTCAACAGTCTGAAACACTGGCTGTTTACTATTTTCATGGGACAACCAGTCTGTTGACGGTTTGGGCGAATGGTACGCAAAAATTCAGGACTGGTAAATTTCGTCCCGGAATCGCTGCGTTTGCCTTTTGTACAATTCATTTCTATTTATCGGAAAACAGCCGCGAATGCCTGAAAGTGGTATCAAAGATGGCTTGAAGAAATGAAACACGAATTTTCCGTTGGAACATTCCGTCCCGGAACTGAGAACAGGACTACCTTTTCACGGTTGACACAGTGGAAAATTTTCCACTGGAACGA